AATACTAATGATAGTGGAACCAAAGTAGTGATATCACTATTGCAGGATTGGACTGAATGAATAATAGTGCATGTGAGCTGTATGCTTTCTGCCCCTGAATGCAGACACTGAACCATGAACTGAACACATTGCCACAATAATGTTGCACTACTCATGAGGCACTACCAATGCTATTTGTATGACAGGAAGTTTGTTCCTATGGTGGGTCATGCATTGCTAAAGTGGGCCATGAACTTTCAAAATATAAGAGATGATCAGAACACGAAAACACAGATGTTCACCTCTCCATATGGTGAGACCATTGACTGTCCTAATCCAGAACACTGAGTTCAGATAAAAGCCATTAAGCTGTTTCGAGACAGGCAATTGCACTTGTATCTGTTTGTCAAAACTCACCTCTCAAGATCTCTAGGGAGAGCAACTAAGAAACCTAGAACTAGCATGGATGCTTTTTGCTGTGCAGCAAAGGAAGTTACATCTAGTGCAGGTTAAGGAAATAAATAGGGGGGCACAGGTACACAGCAGTGGGTTATAACGATTTTATTGAAATCAACCTGTGTTGCAGTTAATGGTCTGCCAACCCCAGTGGTGACAAATTCTCCTGAGTCTGCATCAAGTAAGGATTGGAGAGTATCAGAGTGTTACTTGAATTAGTGCTAAAGTCAACGATTGTACTGGTGATATTCAGTGCTTATGCCAGCATTACACCATGGGTGCAATGCACAGACAAAATTGGCCTAGACAAGGCAAATTATAGCAAAAAATGTGTTGATTTTCCCTTCAGGGAATAGCCTTGGGTATTGCCTGTCCATCCCAGAATTAAAGTGAGGTAATCGATACTTACTGATCGTAAATGATTACTTCACTAAGTTGGATGAAGCTTATCTATTACTCGACACTTTAGCACAGTACATTATTGATAGAACAGTGGAAAACATGTGTCAGTACCCGTGGAAAGACTTACATGGATCAGGAAACTGATTTAAACAGCTAGTTATTTTTTTATTTGTGCACATTTTTGAGTATGTTGAAGATGCACACCTTATCATTACTAATCAGACTGTCAAGCATATGCCTGCAAAGTGTGTTAGTCTCATCAAACTGATTGGGATTAACACTACTCTACAGTATGCCATATATCATGATGGCATACTGCATACTAGAACAGAGGTTGATTGTATATTCACCTAGCATGTTTATGTTTGATTGAGAAATGATGTTTACTGTAGATGTGATGTATGGTCCACCTTCTAGCTTCATAACATCACAATGTCCACAATGGAGTGGTTGAGAATAGCACCAGAAAGTAGGAAAGGCAGCCATATGGCAGAAGAGATGCTACAACAAAACAATCAAGAAGAGTACTTTCCAGCATACATGCAGGGTCTGGCAGTGGAAACATGCTTCACACCACGGTGTAACTTCTTTGGCAACACCTTGTAAAGTGTCTTGTCAGCTGATGGTATGATGAACATATTATAGTCGACACAAACAAGAGTCTGACTCCAAGTGAACGATCCTGGGAAGATTGCCACAGAAGAGATGGCCAAACACCTGACTAGCCTCACATATCTGAAACCAGAACTGTAGTATTGTAAACACTACATATATATATTAATCAAATTGATGTAAAACAATATTTTTATTCACATGTTTGTCTTGAGTTTTTAATTTATTTGTATTATGTTTTATAGTATTTGTTATAATTGGTAACGATGTTTAACTTTTGTTTGTATTATTTCAGTTTTGTTATTTAATGTGTAACTTTTTAAATCAGCTTTGTTTAATTTTGTTAACTGATAACTGGCAGGCACTCTATCGGTTTTCAATGCATTTAAATCAGAATTTCTGTGTGGATTGGTTTAGGTTGTTCTGACTATCGGGCAAAACTACACGAATATCTGTGTTAGACATCCCTAATGTAGTAGTTATATACTGGAGGGAAACAGCTAGTCATCACCACTCACTGCCAATTCTTGGGCTATTCTTTTACCAACGAATAGTGGGATTGACCGTCACATTATAATGCCCCCAAAAGCTGAAAGGGTAAGCATGTTTGGTGGGACGGGGATTCGAACCCGCGACCCTCAGATTGTGAGTGAAGCGCCCTAATCACTGAAGTTTCAAACTATTTAACATTAGTGGTATTGAATGCCACCCGACTTGATATCTCTAGTAATGTACAGTGAAGAAAACAAATCCTTTCCATACTCCCCTTTTGTGAAATAGGAGTACAGTCTTGGCCAAAGTGTTTGAATGTTTTGTAAAAAATAAGATCATTATTATTAAGATGGAATACAAATATACTTAGTGCTGTCAAACTAAGAAATGCATGTTATATTAAACATTTGCATATGTAATTTGTATAATGAGACAAGTTATATGGACATCACTACTCACAACCAGCTCTTGGGCTGTTCTTTTACCAACGAATAGTAGGATTAACCACAACATTATATATAACATTCTCACGGCAGAAAGAACGAGCGTGTTCGGTGACCGGGATTTGAACTCGCGGCTTGGCCATGTTAGGCCTATATGTGCGGACGTTTGTAGAAAAGCCTCTCACTCTAGCAACCAGTAAGAGTTAAATCAAAACTCTAAGCCAGCCACCAACAAAATAAAGAATTTCTTCATTTGTTCACTTGAATTTCTTTCTTTCTTTTGCTGTCCATATTCGATCTATTCTCTGCATACTATTTCTGTACTCTACACTTTTTGGATACTTTTGTACTTTTCTATCAGTTACCTGTATACCTGAATACTACAACTCCTTGTTCATATGTCTACCTTACCAACTACTGACTGTTTGACTTTTGTTATACTGACCCAGGGTCTGACCTTGAAATATGGAACATGACTGTCGACCACCATAAACAGGAAAGACACTTTAACAGCACCCACCTATTGCAAAATCAAAAGTTGTAAATATGTAAATACCTTTTCTCATAATTCTAGAGCACAATAAGACAAATTTTCATTGTAGGTTTATTTTCACTATTTATTTGAAGAATGTCTTAACGGCTACAACTTTCTGAAGCATTATTAAGTATTTGAGTATTATTATCTACTAGCTGGAGTACCCGTACCCTGGACGGAAGTTATGTAAATTCATGATTAATAAAAGGTTATCTTAGGACATGAAAAGTTGCGTCCCATAAAAACAGCAAAACACAAAAATGTGAAATCGCAACTTTACAAGTATCTCCGCATGGACCCAACAAATCTTTATGCCAAATTCGGTGAAGATTCATCAACAGGGTGCGAAGTAGTGGTAAAAATCG